TTGCAGTTGGTGCAGGTGAAATATCCTGGCTCTGGAGCTGTAAGGTGGATACTTCATAATTTCTACAATGAACAAAGTATTCCATCCTGGCATGACTTTAAATTTGATGTACCTCAAAACTTTACTCAGTGATCCTGCTACTATTTAAAAATAAGCATTTCCAGCTCTTAAAATCTCTGTATGCATTTTCCCCAAATATGCCTGTTCAAATGTGAATAGAGCCCTTGTCATCCAGGAATTTATTCAGAATGACTGTATAAATATCATGGCTTTAATGGATGCTTGAAGTAGAGGCAATGCCAGCTTTATATTTACAGGTAACTAAAACTCCTTGCCTGGATAGATCTCCTACCATTTCCCCTGTTTAGACCATCAAGGAGTGATGTGGTATTTATCACCAAATTATATCAAGCTAGACTTCACTCTGGGATCTGACTTGTCCAGTATTGCCATTAACTGGGATGATTGCAGTTACTTTCCTTCCTCAGCCTCTGCATCAAATAATTTCTCATTCTGGATGATTTTAACCTCCATCTCAATTCAACTTCTCTCTCAAGTTTATTGTCACAAGTCTCTTCCTCTAGGTAACTTCTCGGCCCATATTCATTACCAACTCGTTGACCTTGCCAATCCCATCATATCAATCAGATAAATCAATCAATCAATCAGATAAAGCCATCTCTGATCGCCTCCTTGTGTCACTTTCGACTCAAGCCATTTCCAAGCCTAATCCCTGCATCATATATCACCACCTGGCAAAACTTATCTTCTAGTTTGCATACATTTTCAAAATTCTAACTCTCGTCTTTTGTTCACCAATTTTCTACAGCTACTCAATCATCTTCAGCCTCACCTCTACTTTCAATGACTTGGGCTCCCATAAAACAATAAAACTCTCCTTCCCTGGTTGTTCCCCTTGATGCAGCCCTCATATGTGCTCTTTCAAGTCCAAGGGATGCAGATTTGAAAGAATGAGAGATACATCACCCGTTCTGGCTGAAACACAAAATGTTATTCTCATCTATTAAAACTGCTCACAATCTCAGGATCATCCTGGAATGCAAAGCTTCTTTTCTCCACTGAAAACTGCTTTAAAGCTCTCATCTGTCCTGGTTCTGAACCTGCATCACTCTCTCCTGGCTCGTGCCTTCTCCAAACTCTCCTTGTCCAAGAGATTCACCTCCAATTTACTCAGACCTATTCCACTAAGTTGCTGACCACACAACTTCCCTCCTCGCCCCATGTTAGCTGATTTTTTTTTTTAAAAAGTCCATTCTAATGGCCCTCTTTTCAAAAAAGAAATCCATTAAACATCCTTGAGAATGATCACTCCACTCCAAAGCTTTTTCTCAACTTATTGAACAACTTTCCACATACTTTTGCGTAGTACTCCATGTCAACAACACCTCATTTTCCACTTGGGGACCCTACAGCCCTCCGGACTCAATATTGAGTTCAATAATTTTAGGGCCTAAAATCTCCCATGTCCCAGTCCCCTAACCCACACACCAGGTCTTGTTACCACATAGCCTGCCATTACACAACCCCTGTTGTTAGTTATTAACAGTCTCCATTAATAACTATTCACCCTCCCATCCTGATCGTTAGCAACTCCTTTGTCTGTCCAACTCTCTCTTTGGGCTCTATCCTATCGTTTACTGCCTACCCCACCCACCTCCCTATTTTCTGCATATAAACTGACGTTTTCCCACCCACCATCAGTTCTGAGGAAGGGTCACCGGACCCAAAACATTAACTGTCTTCTCCTTCACAGATGCTGCCAGACCTGCTGAACTTTATTTTTCTTCCTGATTTACAGCATCTACAGTTCTTTCGGTTTTACCTATCAGATTTCCACTTCTGCCACAAGACTGAATTTTTTTTTTAAAGTCACATATTCCACATAACCATGAGAAAGGTAGATTGGAAAGGATGAGGAGGCACAAACTGTTTGTAGACTTTAAGGTGGTTAATCACAAAGCATTCCTTCAATGCCTTTCTACATTCATTCAGCCAGAAAGGGCTGCTCACTGTCACCCACCCTTATATAATTAATCATAGGAAGAGTCATGATTTGTAACAGCTTTTCTTCTATCTCTAGCATTGTTACCGCTGTGTTCCCCAAGGATCGATCCTTACCCTGTTTCTCCTGTCTCACTTACGTGCTGGTC